GGCGTCAGTGGGGGGAGGAATCGTGCCCCGTCGTCGGCGTCAGTGGGGGGAGGAATCGTGCCCCGTCGTCGGCGTCAGTGGGGGGAGGAATCGTGCCCCGTCGTCGGCGTCAGTGGGGGGAGGAATCGTGCCCCGTCGTCGGCGTCAGTGGGGGGAGGAATCGTGCCCCGTCGTCGGCGTCAGTGGGGGGAGGAATCGTGCCCCGTCGTCGGCGTCAGTGGGGGGAGGAATCGTGCCCCGTCGTCGGCGTCAGTGGGGGGAGGAATCGTGCCCCGTCGTCGGCGTCAGTGGGGGGAGGAATCGTGCCCCGTCGTCGGCGTCAGTGGGGGGAGGAATCGTGCCCCGTCGTCGGCGTCAGTGGGGGGGGGAATCGTGCCCCGTCGTCGGCGTCAGTGGGGGGAGGAATCGTGCCCCGTCGTTGGCGTCAGTGGGGGGAGGAATCGTGCCCCGTCGTTGGCGTCAGTGGGGGGGGAGGAATCGTGCCCCGTCGTTGGCGTCAGTGGGGGGAGGAAATGTGCCCCGTCGTTGGCGTCAGTGGGGGGAGGAAACGTGCCCCGTCGTTGGCGTCAGTGGGGGGAGGAAACGTGCCCCGTCGTTGGCGTCAGTGGGGGGAGGAATCGTGCCCCGTCGTTGGCGTCAGTGGGGGGAGGAATCGTGCCCCGTCGTTGGCGTCAGTGGGGGGAGGAATCGTGCCCCGTCGTTGGCGTCAGTGGGGGGAGGAATCGTGCCCCGTCGTTGGTGTCAGTGGGGGGAGGAATCGTGCCCCGTCGTTGGTGTCAGTGGGGGGAGGAATCGCGCCCCGTCGTTGGTGTCAGTGGGGGGAGGAATCGCGCCCCGTCGTTGGTGTCAGTGGGGGGAGGAAAAGTGCCCCGTCGTTGGTGTCAGTGGGGGAGGAATCGTGCCTCATCGTTGGTGTCAGTGGGAGGAATAGTGCCCCATCATTGGTATTAGTGAATCCAATGATGGGGCACTATTCCTCCCACTGACACCAATGATACTTACCTTGCTGACCCCTGCTGCAGCCTGGGCTCGCTCGCTCCCTCCCTCTCCCATGGTACAGACACTTACCTGTCAGCTGTCTTCCTTCTCCGGCCGCTCTCCTCCTCTTCACCCGCTCGATCTTCGCGGTGCCGCTCGGCTCCTCCTCTCCAAGCTCCACCTCCTCGCCGGTGATTGGCCGCCTGTGTGCCTCTCCTGAGCTACAGTTCCGGCGGCCAATCACTGGCGAGGATTGATCCCGAGGGTGTGTCCAGATGACAGGGGCGGCATGTCATCCCGCCCACACCTGGAGACGGATAGAGCAGCGGTGTCTCGGTTCCTAACACCATCGGAAATATGTGTTTTCCGATGGTCTTAGGCGACCCCTGTGAAAGAGTCGTACGACCCCCAAAGGGGTCGCGACCCCCAGGTTGAGAACCGCTGTTCTACAGCAATAAGAAATTTTGAGGGGAGGGTGGCACCATGACAACCACCGCCAACAATCACTCCAGACCTACTGTCCGAAAGATGCTGCGGCCAAAGGCAGAATCCTCTGCGGCTCTGACATCCACCTGGTAGAACCTTATGAATGTGTGAACCGAAGCCCATCTAGTGCCCTTGCAAATCTGAGCAACAGACGCCTGATTGCGGATCGCCCAAGATGCCCCCACACTCCTGGTAAAGTGTGCTTTCACCCAAAAGGGTGGAACCTTATCCTTTAAACCATAGGCTTGAATGATTAACTGGTGGATCCAAAAAGAAATAGTTGACCTGGAAGCCGCCTGCCCTTTCTGGAATCCTGACTTGCACTGCCAAACTCAAGTAAATTCTGACCATCCAAAGTGCATTCAGAGTATACAGCAATCTTTCCCCTGTCAACTGTGGGCTAGGAAAATAAGAAAAAGGCAAGACGCGGTCCTGATTTAAGTGAAAACTAAAAACTGCTCTAGGCAAGATGGATGAGGATTCAACATCACCTTCTCATTTAGCGAGACCAACAACAGCTCCTTACATGAAAGAGCCACCAGCTCCTACACTCTTCCTGCTGAAGTGACAGTAATCAAAGAAGCTAAAAACCAGGTGGACCGAGCATAAATATAATCATGTACATATATACAGCACAACTAAAAAAGTCCCAAATTAGCAAAGGTGCTTGTGCTCAGCTTAATTAATATCTTGGTTCATCAATCATCTCAAGTGTGCTCCACTGTGTTCAACAAAGTGCCCCACATGTACTATCATTCACCCTTAGCCAATGACTATCTCCAGAGTGGTCTGTAACGCTTTAGGGACAATTCCCAATGAACCAGCTGTCTCCAGATCTGCAACTTTTTCAGTTGGTGACAGGGTCAATTATGACGATACCGAGGTTCAATGGATGAAGATGTCCTGGAACAGACTCTTCATGGAAAAAAATGTTGACGTGGGTTTTCATCTCAAAATCCATACCAGACCCAAAGGGCTTGGTGTGGATGAGGGGAAGACCCCACGCTGTTTTCTTTATTAACATTTTGAATTGCAGTCATTTCTTTTTACATTCAGCTGTCTGCAGGGAACTCCACTGACAACTGAAACATTAAATAATGTTTTTACTATTAAAATACCGCATTACCAGTCCAGCCGTGGGACTCAGCATTACAACAGAAGTTCAACCTTAACCTATCACGGCGGGCCCCATCATGTAGACGTTCACAGACTCTGTCCCCATAATGTGGCGCCACTGACTCAGACCTGTAAAGCACCCTACTGGAAAGCACCTTGGTGAGATTTAAAACTGCACAGGGTTACAATTTTGCAGGGTCCAGCGCCGAAAGGCTGCATTACAGGAAAAACCCCGAGGATTCTTCTCCTATCCAGCGAGGCTTGGGTACCATCCATTTTGTCTAACAGATTTTTGAATTGATCCGATTGAAGTCCTTCTCAGCAGAACCATTCCAAACCTCCAAGCATGCTCACAGAGCACATGTCCAGTGACCATCCACCTTACAGACACTGGCAAAAAAGCGGAAGTACTTCCAGTGTAGGAGGGATTATATAAGGGAGGACTTCCTCTCTGATTGGTCGGCCAGTGTCCATTCGCCTCTAGGTGGCATAAAACTCACATTTTTTTTATCTATCTCCTGACTTGTGCCTGTCCACAACTTTAGCTTGGAGATCTATGACAGTGTCCTGCCACCCATAGTTGATGGCTTGCTTCAGCTGCACTACCAGGGACTAAAATGCTCCAGGAAAGCTATTTTCATGCTGAGCTAATCAAAATGATCACAGCTGAAAGTATGCCATTGATAAGGTCATTAGCTACACCTCTTTGAGTTTGAGTAATTTTTTAGGAGGGGGCGATTCTTTTTTCCAAACTCGGTTTTTGATTTTTTTTTTTTTAATTTCTGACATGTTGGTGTTACATCTTTCACTTGGATGTTGTAAGTTGCAGAGTAAATACAGCTAGATAAAACAAAAATCTGTCTGTTTTCTTTTCAGGATGCAAAGCAACAAAATGTGATTATTTTAAAGGCGGGTGATTCTTTTCTATATACACTGTATATATATATTAAGGATGCACCGATGCCGTTACCAAGTATTTTCACGAGTATTCGTTACCTGAAACTGATACTTTGCAGTGCAATTTGCATCAATACAAAATGTACGGATGCAAATTGCACTGCAAATAACATGCAATTCCTGTCCAAATCGCATGCGGTTTCCCCACTGCTCCTGTGTGAACCCAGGCTTCTCATAGTTCACACAGGAGCAGTGCGGAAAACCTCCCTGCGCCAGACCCATGCTGTCACAGAAGGAAAAGCTGGGGATTTGAACTCCCTGCTGCTTTCTCTTCTCTCAGTACAGGGATGACAATACAGGCTAGAAGGCTTTCTTTTGATTGGTCAACACTGTCATGAGCTAGATGCTTTTGATTGGCCATGACAAACCTAAGTTCACACAGGAGCATTGGGGAAACCTTATGCGATTTGAACGGGGGGGGGGGGGGGGGGGAAGAGACTATTCCCCCATTCACAAACTCAATGTGGATGGGGAGACTCCTTTAGGCTTAATATTGTATTCTGACTGTGGGGAGACTTCCCCCGCCATCAGAATCCACTGATCAGCGCTGCCAGCTATAGCTGGCAGTGCTGTATGAGAAAATCTGACAGGCTGGCTGTACAGAAGTCAATTGATAGATGATTGATAGTCCTCTCTTGTCATAGTCTGTCTGCGTCCAGACCCAGGTAAACGATGGCTATGCAAACAGTCAAAGCTAGCTGCAGAAACTATGGGCTGAGAGGCTGCAAATCTTCGCACACACTTGTCATTCCAGCCACAGGAATTCAGATTCTTGCCACTGGAATTTGCAGTGTGTGCCAATCGCCAGTGTGAATGTAGCATAATGGTAGACACACTTCACTATGGTTTGTTCGCTTATGTGTTAACTGTTACACCAAGAACAAACAGTTCTTGGGTATTTTGAAACCACTTTTGTGTTTGCATCACCATTGTGTGTTAGCTGTTACAGCACAGCATTAAGAAACAGTAGTTAGGGGATACAAAAACACTTTGTATCACTAGAGAAATGCTTCTTCTGGGTGTAAATGTAAAAGCGGAACTATACTAACCTTCAGTCCAGAGATGCAGCATCTTGGAGCTCCCCACCAACATCTTCAGACTTCCAGGTCTTGATCGCTAGCCACTTACATCAGCTAGGCGATGAGATGGCATCACTCCTGCTCATGCGTGGGAGTTCAGTCAGCTTCAGCACTGACAATTTGTACAATAAGAGGTGTGTGAGCAGCTCACTGTACAGGGGCAGACAGGCAGGTAAGTAACTTTAATGCGGAAGAGACAAAGAGCATCTCTTCCACATTAAAATGCTGCCTGTTCACCCATTTCTATTCTTAATTGTTACACCAGGAAAACACAGTTCTCAGGTAACAGCAATTCATGAACTTTCAGGAAGAATAAATACAAGACAAAACAGGATTATAGGCTTTAAGAAATGATTATTGCAAGATTAGGTCCTTGGACTTTTGTTATACCTGAGAGTGGTTTATGGCAGACTGTGCATATGTCACTGGGGTACTGGATGAGGATGGGGTGTAGGAAGTGGTATAATAGGAATCTGGAGAGGAGCAGTATGGGGTGGGTTGCATGCTGGTGGAGGGATGGCTGGCAGTGTAGGAGGCAGAGGTGGTGGCTGGGGTGGATACAGTCATCCGCGGAACAGGAAGATTTTCCCGATATGCGGATCTACAGGCTGCCAGATAACAGTAAATGTCATCTGTGGCCTGCATAGACCGTTGAAAAGGGAGATCTTCAAGCATGGGCAGTATACTACGGCAGAAAGCTACATGCCGGTTGGAATGATTAAGAAAAGCGTCCTCAGGTGGTTGCACCTTCTGGTGCCGTCTACGAATGTCATTTAATGTTTGGAGTATGTGGTCATCAATTGACGATGTAGCCTGCTGCCGTCGTGCATGCCGCGTCTGTCGAGTTTGCCAGACTGGTGTCTCTTCCCTGCCACAGTACCCTTAAGAAATATAGCAAGAAAATTTGTAGATATATGGCTAGATTAAAGAGACAAATACATGACATGGATATATGTACATACATGTATTGATAGAGAGCAAAACAAAAAACAAATTATATGTACCTGTGTACTTAATGGAGATAATCGTGCTGCCATCTCCTCAGACGCTGTAGCAGAATGTGAGGGTCCCTCATCACTATCCTCGCCTTCCTCCTCTTCCTCCTCCTCAGCCAAGTTACTGGTTGTACTAAGAAATGAAAATTAGTAAAGAGCAATAAATGAATGCCCTTACAATTTTAATAAGATCATCAAAATGTGCTGCCGATTTCTACTTACACCCTGGACTCCATTGGCCTTCTGAGAAATGCAAGCTCTGTGGCATATGGGTGAGGTCTGCGACGGGGTCCCCTTGCTGGGACACCACTTCTGGCCAGCTGCTCATCGGTTATATCTCGACGTAGACGGTCACGGAGTGACTTCCAACGTGTGCGGAACTCATCGCCTGCAATTTACCCAGATATTCAGGACACAATGCACAAAATACCATTTGTCTGTACACTGCTATGTACAATACATAGCAATGTAAAGGCAAATAGCTCTTACCTCTCAGCTTCTTGTCTTGTGGATTCAGTCGGTTCCAGCTCGGGGTCAGGGTTTTGTAAACCTCATCCCATGCCCTCAGCTTGTACACACGATCAGCATATTGTGGATGCTCAAGGTCCCACAGCTCTGCATGTTGCTCCACTGCTGCAATGAGTGCACTCTGGCTGACATCTTTGGTGCGCGGCATCCTTGCAGTTATGGCTGTGCTGCCAATGTTGTCTTGCACTGTGCATGTGGTACACTATTTTCAGATCGTAAAATATGAATACTTTTTTTTTCTTTGCAGGACAGTGCTTAAGTTTACATGTGTAGTTTCATTTACCTGTGTATATACAAATATACTCATAAAATAATGCATTTCTATTTTTTTTACATTTTTGTTTGTGTTTTTTACAGATCTTTAAGCAGCTGTGTGCACTGGCCCACAGAAACAATGCAACATGTGTTCATATTTGGTAAACAAAATTCTGAATAATTCAAATTGTGGATCTTTTTTTTTTCTTTTTTGCCTGTGTGCAATAGCTCTAACAGAGTAGCCTGAACAGAATATGTGCATACATGCATAATATAGAAGGACAGTAAAGGCTAAGTTGACATTAGAATGCAGTGCTGGGAAATGTTCTGTGTGCGTTTCTCCCATGGTGTTTAAAATGCACTGCAGTTGTGCTCTGTAGTGGGTGTCAATGTTAAATCAATGACATACCAAATACAGGTCACAAACGTAGTGGGGATGATTTACTAAAACTGGAGAGTGCAAAATCTGGAGTAGCTCTGCATAGAAACCAATCAGCTTCCAGTTACTTTCAAAGTTTAGTTTAACAAGCTGAAATTAGAAGTCGATTGACTACCATGCACAGCTGCACCAGATTTTGCACTGTCCAGTTTTAGCAAATCAAGCCCAGTGTGTTTACCATGCGATCTACTTGCAGTGCGCTTCCAAAAGTAGTACATGCACTACTTTTAGTGTGATGCAGTGTGATTCGAGCCTATTCAAAATGAATGGGCTCAAATCACGCCGCACTGATATCACATGTGAATCGAACAGAATGTGCGGTGATTTCCGGCACGATTCATAGTGTGAACTGAGTGTAAGAATTTGGCCACACACACAGCATTATAAAAGTATTAGAGGTTGTTGATAAAAAGCGTGTTAAATGCACATGCATTTATGATGTGTTGCACTTGAGTTTTTATGAGCAATGGTGTAAAAGGACCCTGTAATTCTCTGGCACTCACTTTCATTACTATGAAATATGGGTCCTGCCCAGTAACACATCTCTTCACCTAGTGCTGGGTGTAATGATCAGAATTGTTTTGTTTTTTGTATGTACAATAGCTCTTCTCTGCATCTGTGTGTTGCAATTCTTTGTACATGTTACTATTCAGTTTTCTATGTACCCTGTGTTGCATTACACTGCATTTCTATACATGTAGGCATGTGTTTTCATGTCACTGGTTGTGAAGTAACAGGTCCCTGGAAGGCTAACACTCACCCTTTTTTCAGGGCTCATTCACACATAGTGCAATAACTGGTCTATTTACACACTAGACCAGTGATGATGAACCTTTTAGAGACCGAGTGCCAAACTGCAACCCAAAACCCACGTGTCTATTGCAAAGTGCCAACACTGCAATATTGTGGTGTGAATGAGGCACCTGCATTCATCTGGTGCAGAAAAATGCAGGCCACTGCACGTGGTGCAAATCAACCCTGAATATCTTTGCGTTGTGTTAATGGGCAAGTTCACATTTTCACAAAAAATGAAAGGAAGAACAAACTCCAAATATCCTGGCCACCCCCTGGATGTTTCGTGCTGCTGGTGGGTACAATGCAAATCACAACTCCCGCAATGACTATTTGTCATTCCCAGTATGAACTCAGATGTGTTCAAATCCTACTCAAAACCCACCTGACCTATTCTGCTAGAAAGCCATCACTGTGCACTGCCAATCATAAACGGCCAAAGCATTCCCCACCCCACAGCGACACGTACTGCATACATGCAGCTGCAGGGTGAGGAATGCCTAGAATTGGGGGTATGCAATGACAGCTTACTGGAGGGATAGGTCAGCTCAGTTTGGACTAGGATCCCAACATACCTGAGCTCACCCTTACTCACAATGGCAAGTGCTCAAGGTTTAAAGCAGGGCTTGAAATTTCCACGCACCTGCTCGCATTTGGCTAGTGAAAATAACATGAGGGCGAATGTGTCCCAGGCACCGCATCGGAGGGTGGGGGGTGGGTGTACCAGCAGCACCAACCTGCCCAGAGCACTGTGTTGAGGGGGGATGAACTGCTGGTGCAGCTCCTCAGTGACCGCAGTGATCGCAGTTTCACTCCTGTCACAGGGAGCAGCTGTAGACACTTGCTGGAGGGAGGACTAGGCTTTCTCCTCCCTCCTGCCTGCAGGGGGCAATAGACAGCCGGCACTAAGGAGTGAAGGCAGAGTGTCCTTCCTCTCTCCCCTTGTCATGTGACTTACCACATGACCGAAGGGAGGGAAAGAAGGAGAAGCTGCATTCACAAGAAGATCTGTGAGTACAAAAGTAGAAAGGCAAGGTTACTCTGATGGGGACACCTGCTGTAAAGGGGGACTCTGATAGGGACACTCATTTTCATTTTATGTTTACCACTTGCCCTCTAGACTCTATTAAGTAATTGCTGTTATGTTTAAATGGACATAATAAAGCTATGTTAAAATTGCTGTTCATTTATTTTGGACTCTTTATTCTAAAGCAGTGGTTCTCAACCTTTCTAATGCCGCGACCCCTTAATACAGTTCCTCATGTTATGGTGACCCCCAACCATAAAATTATTTTCGTTGCTACTTCATAACTGTAATTTTGCAGTGGGAGGAATCGTGCCCCGTCGTTGGTGTCAGTGGGGGGAGGAATCGTGCCCCGTCGTTGGTGTCAGTGGGGGGAGGAATCGTGCCCCGTCGTTGGTGTCAGTGGGGGGAGGAATCGTGCCCCGTCGTTGGTGTCAGTGGGGGGAGGAAACGTGCCCCGTCGTTGGTGTCAGTGGGGGGAGAGGAAACGTGCCCCGTCGTTGGTGTCAGTGGGGGGAGGAAACGTGCCCCGTCGTTGGTGTCAGTGGGGGGAGGAAACGTGCCCCGTCGTTGGTGTCAGTGGGGGGAGGAAACGTGCCCCGTCGTTGGTGTCAGTGGGGGGAGGAATCGTGCCCCGTCGTTGGTGTCAGTGGGGGGGAGGAATCGTGCCCCGTCGTTGGTGTCAGTGGGGGGAGGAATCGTGCCCCGTCGTTGGTGTCAGTGGGGGGAGGAATCGTGCCCCGTCGTTGGTGTCAGTGGGGGGAGGAATCGTGCCCCGTCGTTGGTGTCAGTGGGGGGAGGAATCGTGCCCCGTCGTTGGTGTCAGTGGGGGGAGGAAACGTGCCCCGTCGTTGGTGTCAGTGGGGGGAGGAAACGTGCCCCGTCGTTGGTGTCAGTGGGGGGAGGAAACGTGCCCCGTCGTTGGTGTCAGTGGGGGGAGGAAACGTGCCCCGTCGTTGGTGTCAGTGGGGGGAGGAAACGTGCCCCGTCGTTGGTGTCAGTGGGGGGAGGAAACGTGCCCCGTCGTTGGTGTCAGTGGGGGGAGGAATCGTGCCCCGTCGTTGGTGTCAGTGGGGGGAGGAATCGTGCCCCGTCGTTGGTGTCAGTGGGAGGAATAGTGCCCCATCATTGGTATTAGTGAATCCAATGATGGGGCACTATTCCTCCCACTGACACCAATGATACTTACCTTGCTGACCCCTGCTCCAGCCTGGGCTCGCTCGCTCCCTCCCTCTCCCATGGTACAGACACTTACCTGTCAGCTGTCTTCCTTCTCCGGCCGCTCTCCTCCTCTTCACCCGCTCGATCTTCGTGGTGCCGCTCGACTCCTCCTCTCCAAGCTCCACCTCCTCGCCGGTGATTGGCCGCCTGTGTGCCTCTCCTGAGCTACAGTTCCGGCGGCCAATCACTGGCGAGGATTGATCCCGAGGGTGTGTCCAGATGACAGGGGCGGCATGTCATCCCGCCCACACCTGGAGACGGATAGAGCAGCGGTGTCTCGGTTCCTAACACCATCGGAAATATGTGTTTTCCGATGGTCTTAGGCGACCCCTGTGAAAGAGTCGTTCGACCCCCAAAGGGGTCGCGACCCCCAGGTTGAGAACCGCTGTTCTAAAGAAAAATTTAATTTCATAAGCTTTAAGGGGGCGTGGTTTGGGGGCAAGGCTGGGGGACGGGCCTGGGGTGGGGTAACTGGTGGAGAGTAAGGTTTTTGCCTGGCTAGTAGGTCTAGACTTGAAATTTTAAGCCCTGGTTTATTTATTTTTTTTTTTTTTTTTAATTTAAATATTTATTAATTTTTCATATTATTACAAATATCCATGCAGGGAAACAATGCACATATAATCATTTATAACATTTCTACATTTCCCCTTCTAAAAACTCTTTTCTTTCCCGACCCACCTCCTCCCATACCCGCCCCCCCCCCCCCCCCTCCCCCCTCTGCAAGCTCTAATCCATTCTAGTCTCTCGAGGCTTATTCACTTTAAATAACATCCTAGATTATAGTTTTCTAGATTTCTCTTTCAATGCTGCTTTTTCCCACTTTTCCCATCTCTTATGATATACTCCCATTCTATCTTCCTGCATATGGTACGTTTTTTCCATTCTACCAATCTGGTTTACTCTATTAATCCAGTCTTCCTCCTTCGGTACCTCAGTTTTCTGCCAAAACTTGGGAATCAAACCTTTTGCCGCATTTAAGTAGTACCATATGCCTGACTCTTTATATTTATTTACTGATGTCTCAACATTATGTAGGAGGCACATCGTTGGGTCTAACCCTATGTCGTTTCCAGTTATTTCTTCAATCAATTTGACTATTGTCTTCCAGAAAGCTTGGATTTTCGGACATTCCCACCAAATGTGAAACACCGTGCCTATCTCACCACATCCTCTCCAACACATTTTTGAATTTTCCCCAATCATCTTGTGCTCAACACTCGGTGTAATGTGCCATCGTGTCACACACTTATAATTAATCTCAACTTCTCTCATACTAACGCTCTCGTGTATCAGTCTAAATATCTTTCTCTGTTTATCCTCATCAAACACTACTTCCGTATCCCTTTCCCATTTTGTTATAAAAGTTAACTTTGTGTCTGTGTCTAATTCTGTGAGTATTCTATAAATTTTCGCA